AGCCACGCCGGCTGCCGGGAACCAAAGCGGTCAGAGCCCAAAGCAGTCTGAGCCGCAGCGGCAGCGAGCGCGACCGCTTGGACCACAAGCCGGTTGCAGAAGCTGCAGCAGCGCTCAAGGAGGAGAATTTTTAAGGAGAATTTCCAAAGAGAACTTTCAGACGGAAAATGTTTAGAGAGAGCTTTTGAAGAGACATCTTAAAGAGAGCTTTTTGAGAGAGAACTTTTGGAGAGGAACTTTTGAAGACAGGCTAAAAAGAACCTCCTTTATTTGAAGAATAAAAGAGCTATCTAGCAGAAACGTGCGAGAGGGGTTTGGAGTTCTGTTCCTCAGTTGTCACTGTGGTTGGAGATGAGTAACATCGAGTTCTTTTGAAGTCGACCTGGATGTGTCCTCAGGAGGATTGGGCAAAAATTTTAGGTAAAAAATGTGACTCTAACAGTTTATCTCTTAAAGTTTTGTAGCACAGGAGATGGTTGGAAAAAACCCTGATAGGTTCCTTTTAACTGACGGCAAAGGGAGGCTTTGACTTATTGTCTTTTCCAGCAGGGCTGAAGAGATTATTTTATCAACCACCACACTTCAAAGAACTAAACTTCGTATGCGTTTGTGTGTGTGTGTGTGTGTGTGTGTGTGTGTGTGTGTGTGTGTGTACATAACTGCAAGGCAGTAAAACCAGAACAGAACTCAATGGGTTAAAAAAAAAAGAGGACACAGAGTTTGATGGGTAGGGAAAGAGGGATAGATGGGGTTTGGGGGATGGAGTGAATGTGATCAAAACACGTTGAAATGCTCGAACTGAAATATTCTTAGAGAAACTTTACAAGAGTATAGAAAAGGATAAACCTTTAAAAATGAATATGCTCACCATATATGAAAGCCAAGTCAGTTAATGTTTGATGAGTTTGCAGGAAAAACTCACAAGATGCTCACAGAAACACATTCCAGGGTGGGGCAGATTTTCAGTCAGTTATGTATCTGCATTGAGCACTGAAATATAGAATACGATTTTTATTAATGGAGCCCTGTTTGTCCTAGCCACCCCATATTTGGCCCTTGAAGAACATGTTTTTGGAAGAGGCTACCTTCCTTAGAAATCTTTGCTAGTTTTAAAAACTAAGAGACTTGGAACTAAGGAGATGGAATAGAGGGTAAAGTAGTTGCTTCTCAAGTGTGAGAACCAGAGTTCAAATCCCCAGTACCCATGTAAGTGTTGGGCAGGCATGGTGGCTGAGTTAGTTTGCTGTCTATTGCTTTTATAAAGGCTCAGACCTGGAAAAGATGTATTTGGTTTATATATTCTGGTCATAGCCTATGACTGAGGGAAATTGTCTTGGTTAGTGTTTTATTACTGTGAAAAGACATCATGACCAAGATGACATTTATAAAGAAAGTCATCTAATTGGGTACTTGCTTACAGATTCAGAGGATTAGTCCATTAGTATCATCATGGGAAACAGACATATGTGGCTCTAGAGCAGTAAATCCTCTCAGATGCTCAGGCAGCAGGCAGAAAGAGCAACACTGGGCCTGGTGTGGGTATTTGAAATCACAAAGCCTACCCCTAGCAACATACCTCCTCCAATGAGGACACACCTCCTCCAATGAGGACACACCTCCAATGAGGACACACCTCCAATGAGGACACACCTACTCCAACAAAGCCACACCTCCTCATCCTTCCAAACAGTTCACCAACTAGGGACTAAGCATGTAAATATATGGGTATATGGGAACATTCTCATTCAAATCACCTCACCACAGAAACCAAGACAAGAACTCAAGTAGGGCAGGGACTTGGAGGCAGACTCTGGAGTAGAGGCCATGGAGGGATGCTGCTTACTGACCTGCTCCCCATAGCTTTCTTATACAACACAGGATCACCAGCACAGGGGTGATACTTCCCAGAGTGGATTGTACCCTCCCACATTGTTATTAATCAAGAAAATGCTTTACAGACTTGCCAATCTATTGGGGGCATTTTCTCAACTGAAGTTCCCTCTTCTCAGATGAACCTTGCTCGTGTCAAGCTGACCAAACAGCTTAACCAGCACAGTGTCCCATTTGTAATCCCAGCCCTCTGAAGGTAGAGACAGGGAGTGTAAGGAAAACACCAATAACTGGAGCAAGATTAACAAGGGAGCTCTTTATGAGCAATCTGGCTGGCTGCACTAGCTGAAATGGCAAGCTCTGAGCCAACATGAAAGACCCTACTTCAACATAAAAGGTGAGGATGATTAGGGAAGACACCCAGCATCAACTTCTGGCCTTCACATGTGCATACATGCAAAACATACATATGTACATACATACATACATACATACATACATATGTATATACATGAGAGAGAGAAACTTCATGTGAACCTGCTTTACAAACTATAACTCCTTATAAATGCAGAAATAACATGGCTATTTTATTGTGCTAAAATCATTGTATTCAATAAAACAAGTGAGATAAATGATTTTATTCCACAATTCTTATTAAAACCCAGCAGTAAGGCTTTGGATGAAAACATGGTAAGATGTTCTGCATCTGATTCAGCTGTCACAGAGAGGGAAGCCAACCACCAGAGGACTCAGCTTTCTTTTCAGTCTTCTGCTTTGTTGGGTGTATATGGCTGCTGCTGCTGCTTCTCAGGAGAGACTCTTGAGAGAGTGCCGCAGAGCAATGTGTCTGAAAACCCAGAAGCATGAGCATAGATGGTCACCAGTCACATTTCTTATTTTACATATTAGCAGATATATATATATATATATATATATATATATATATATATATATATCAGTTTTGTGATGGTGTCATGTTTTAACTATACCACTATGGCAAAGACACCCTATAATGCCCCTGCCATTTTCCCAACAACCTACACCAGCATTTACATCATTGCATGAATATATTGCAGGGCATCAATGACCATTGAGTGAAAAATCCAGCACCAGAGTCTTTCTTCTTATTCTAGCTCAGACTTTATCACCCTTTAACCTGCACTTGGATGTGTGTGTATTAGTTCGTATCTTTGTTGCTGTGATAAACATTTAGCAAAAACAACTTGGCAAGGAAAGTTTATTTCATTTTACACTTCCAGGCACCAGGTACCAGACAAAGAACTTAGGACAGGAATCTGGAGGCTGGATTTGAAGCAGAGACCATAGAGGAAAGCTGCTTTCTCTATGAGGCTTGCTTACCTTGCTTTCTTATAAACCCTAGGACCCGCCCACCACCACCACCACACAGGTGTGACACCAACCACAGTAGTCTGGGCCCCTCCCACATCAATCACTAATCAAGAAATGCCCCACAGGCTTGCTGACAAAGCAATATAATGGAGGCATTTTCTCAACTGTTTTTTTTTTCCTTCCCACATGAGTCTAGCTTGTTGCAGGTTGATGAAAACAAACCAGCACAGCATGAGCAAACCTGCCTCCCCATAGAGGATGGGCCAGGATGACAATGTTCATGAAGGGAGGAAGGGCCTTGGGGCCTAGGGTGGGTTCTCTGCATGGTGAAGACTGACATTACAAGACTGACCTTAATGCACCGTAGTCATCTCAAAGTCAGTGATGTGGGTTTTCCCCAGTTCTTGGGTCAGAAAGAGAGGACAACTTCCTTTGGAACAGACAGCGATGAACCAACCAGGGAAGGCGGCGGACTCAAATGTTGAGGTTGTGCCACTCTTGGTGTGATAGAAGAGGGAGGGTTTTACAGGCTCCTTTTGGTGGTACAGTTCCAGTATGTCCCCTTTCTGGTGGGCGAGAAGGAGATCCCAGGAAGAAACAACACCACCTCAATGCTTCACTTGTTTTTAGCATCAGTCCCCATCTGTTAAAGCAGGCCTGGAGACTTCTGTTTCTTACTGGACTATTAAGAACCATACACCCCAAATACCTTTTAAGAGTACAGTAGAAACATTAGGTCACAAATTTTAATGTAGTTTGGTATTGCTAATGTTTTGAGTCAACTCTCTCTGTGAATCCCCAGTGCTGAGATGAGAGGCAGGGGCCTCCATGTCCAGCTGTTTCCTCTGCTGCCCCCCAGCCAGCCTAGCCTAGTTGGTGAGCTCCTGTCTTAAAATAATATAGGGAAGATGATGGTGGCACATGCCTTTAATCCCAGCATTGGGAGGCAGAGGCAGGCAAATCTCTGAGTTCAAGTCCAGCCTGGTATACAAAGTAAGTTACAGGACAGCCAGGACTGTTACACAGAGAAACCCTGTCTCAAAAAGCTAATAATAATAATAATAATAATAATAATAATAATAATGTGGGGGAGTGATAAAGGAAGATAGCCAGTGTCAACTTCTGACCTATACCCACACGTGTGTACACACATACACATAGACACATGATCATACATATGAACACACACACATGCAAACACACCACACACACACACACACACACACCACACACACACACACACACACACGTAACTCTAAATCTTTCCTTGACAAAACTTACTTTTGTAAGTTTCCAAAAGTTACTTTGGAAAGCTACTTTCAAATATCCCTACAATTTATTTTCTTGTTTTTTGTTGCTGCATGCACCCTTAGGGGAAAAATAAATTGGTGTGAGGATAATCTGTGAGCTGCCTTTTAAACGATTTGGAAATCAGCGTTTCCGTCAAATGGGAGATTTCTGGCCAGATGGGCTCCTCACTGGTGGCCAATCGAGGGCAGACCTTTCCTTCCTGAACTCACCTTAAGCTGCAGCACCGGCTGCTCTCCTTGCTTCGTGCAGGCCAGGCAGCACGGAGGCTCTCTCAGTCCCACATACATGGGATCCCCCCTGTCCTTCTCAAGAGCCTCTGGATATTGGTACGGGAGTAAGGTGACAGTGACTGGCAATGCAAGGGCAGAAAACAGGGTTTAGTTCTTACTTCCAAAGCAACACTCTAAACTAAAGCCATGGAAACAGTGGTTGGAATCTCCTTGCCAACCTTCCTTTCACCCACTCTCCTCCTGGCTCACACAGGCATTGCATTTGGGTGACTTTTTCCATTAGAGAAGTCAGCCTCTCATAGATTCAAAGATTGATCTCATAGAACTTTCTCTGTTATTTGTCTCTAAAACTTCTCAGATAAAAAGTCTTCCACCATTTCCTCAACCTGCCACTCCTCCCCTTTCCCTTAACCCATTCCATAGCTGTCCGGGTCTATGATGGCCCTCTATTCTAAACTCTCTGTGCAATGCTCCTCCAGGTAAGGGCAGCTAACACACGTGCAATGAAAGACTCCGGACAGACACACAACATTAGCCAGAGGAGCTGCCTCACAGGGCCTGGGCTACTCACCTGGAACTGTCTGTTCTTTCCTAGGGACTGCAGTGAGGATATCGTTATGAAGAACCCACACACGACTACTGAGGTCCTGAATGTGTCTTAGCCAAGGTGTTTCTGTGCGTAGTTCTGTAAAGAAAGTAAAAATGCAGATATATAAGGACAAAGGCACAGACCTCTCCCCCACCCCTACTTTCCAATCTTCCATAAAGATCTTTACGTTTGCCTGTATCCATTATGGAGATGACGTCTAGCTCCAGTGTCATGTATGTGCAGACTGATCCTAGGGGAGGAACAGAGTTAGTCCTAAGTCCCAGTTTGGCCCCAGGTCAGAGGAACTGCTGACCAGCCTAACAGCCAGTAACCCAAATCTCACCAAGATCCCTCTACATGCTTAGACTCAGCTTATTGCCCAAGAAGCTACTCCACAACTCCATGCAGGCCTGAGGTCTGGGAGGGCACAGAGTACCAAGGCCAAACTCAAACATCAAGAGATCAGAGGTCAGTGACTGAAAGCCAGAGGCTGCTTCTCTAACCTGATTACACAGGAACTGTGTCTGCCCACTACAGCCCTACGGCTGCTGCTCTCTACCGGTGCCTGTCAACTGTGGAACTACAGCCCCTACTGTGCTCAGCTTCTCCGACAGGCTCTACTGGGGCCCATGCCTTTTTATCCACAGCATAAGGAAGGAAGTTCTGCCTCAGTGGATCTGGGACTGCCTGGCACCCTAGATAATTGCTGGTTCCTTGTGCCGGAGGACTTGCTAAGTATTTATTTGGAGTAAATGTCAAAGTCAGCATGGCTGTGACTTATCAGAGTGCCTTGGAATGGGAGGGCATGCTAAGCAGCAAGCAGGAAATACAGTTACAGATTCTGACAGACTGAGGAAAGAAACATTATGGGATTTCCCCAGGGTGGATGACTGGACTAGGAGATGTAAACTGAGGTACCAGAATATTGCTCATACAGCAGGAGCCTGTAGCAAGTGCAAGGGCCAATGGGGGAGAAGACCGTGTCCTAAGCCCTATGTAGCTTCTAACCTGGCTCAAGTCACCTTGGCTGACTGGAGGGGATGTTACACTTCTCTCCCAACCCACATGCAGGCTGCTTCTCCATCGACATGCTTTACCCAAAGCAGCACCAGCTATTGGACTGCCTGCCCACACATCAGCAGATTTAAGTCATTACCTTGTTATAGGATAAGGAAACCCGAAGGAACCTGCACACCTTGGGATGCTCCCTTCCAGACCCAGGATTAGGCACAGACCACACCCAAACACCAATTTCCCACACAAAGAGATCCTTTATGAAGCAAGACAGGGAGACAAGATGGTTCTGGATGGGACAGAAACAGCAGCAAATGGCCCTGAAAGAGTGATTTTTAATGGGAGAAAGGGGAAGTCTGTGTGAGGATGAGTTAGGAAGAGTTGGTAGGTTCTGACTGAACATGGTGGTCAGTGTAGCCAAACAGGAAATTCTGATAGCTGGACCTTGGCGGTTAATCTCAGGAAGGAGTCAGGCATAAGGAAGTGGCCAAATAAGGGAATGGACCTTGATGGCCAGCTTTAGGAATGTGGAATTACCTAAATAAGGGAATCTAATGATTTAGCAAGAGAGAAGGAAGTAGGGAGGGGTGGGGCAGCAGGGCCTGACTATGCCATGTTTGTCATGTTTGGGCCTGTTAGAGCCCTTCAAAGCCTAGTTGTCAGATGGTCTGAGACAACAGTGCCTGTCACTAGATCTTTCCAAAAGGAAACTGAGGCAATGATCTTGATGCTTTATCCCATATCTGAGTTCACAGTCTGCCTCTAATAGATCCCAGAACATGTCACCTTCATACCTCATTGAGTTCCATCTCAGGGACAAATGCTACTGATGAGTTAAGGGACTGATGGATAAGGTCTCAGCCTCCCTGTTCCCTGGTGGGACAATGTTCCCACCAGGTTTCTCAGAGGGTCCCAGTTGCTCCCAGCCACAGTTACCTGTAAAAGTAACTAGTATGAACTGTATTTCCTGGAGTCATCGTCCAATTAAGACAGTAGTTCAGTGTTCAAAAGGAAGATATTTGTATTCAAATGATATGTATTCAAAATAAACCTTTCAACAGTCCTAATTGTGTACACAGGAAAGTGAAGATGGTTGGTGATGTTTTGGCATCATCTGGCATCTTGTCAGAAATATAGAAACTCGGGTTTTGCTCCAACCTATAGAATCAAGATCTGAAAGAGAAGGACATTAAAATTGCTATGCCACGGGAGTGGTGGTGGTACATGACTTTAATTACAGCACTCATGAGGTGGAGGCAGGTGGATCTCTGTGAGTTTGAGCTCATTCTGGTCTCCATGGTGAGTTCCAAGGCAACCAGGACTATGTAGAGAGACCACCATCCCTTCTGTGTTTATAGCACCCAGTCACACTCAATAACACCATCAAATCAACACAAAAAGAAAGAGGAAGGGGCGCTGGGCATACTGGGGCTGGGAGGGAACACTCTCAGAGTCCTGAAGCCATTTTCTTCTCCAATCTATGAAAACTATGCAGATGGGCTTTGCTGGCACCATACAGGAGGAGAAAGATAAAAAGAAGCCATTTTTGGAGAGTCATGGGCACAGGTACAAGGATCTTGGATTATATAAAAGAAATGCACTCATAACTTCATCGGGATGAGATTTCATAAGATTAAAGACTAAAGCCAAATAGTAAAGCTAACAAATAATAAAAATGCATTTCCCTCAAGGAAACCAAAAATGGACAATAATGGGAACGAGAAGACAATAGAATAACATCCCGAATGCTGAATTTAGCTGGACTTTTGGGTAAGATGGCTGATTATAGGCTGACTCTGTGTGAGGCAGGAAGGAATCATGATTTGAAATAATAGACTTTATCTCAAAGAGATAAATAGAGGAAGAGCCTTGGGAATTCAAGAAGGAAGTAAAAGGATTCTGGAAAAAGGAAAAATAAAGAGAACTTGTAGAAGTAACCTGAGTATGACCTCAGCCATAGAGTTCCGTGACTAAGACAAAGCACAGCCCTCACAAGCTTCAAGTGCAGTTGCAGGTTTCAGTGAGAAGTTGAGACAGCAGTGGAGGGAAAGCCTAGGATGTAAACTATATTACTTAGAGATCCTTCACCATACCAATTTCTGTGCTGTTTGCTTGCCACACTCCTAATGCACACGGGAAACATCCCAGCTAAAACATTAGCCAGACCCTACAAGACTGGGGAGTATTAGGAGGAGGAGATTATATGCAAGACCATGCGATGCAAAGCCAAGCACTGCCAGCAGAGGTTCCTGTTATATGGTGAAAGCAAGCTGCTACTGTAATGTACATTTGGTAGTATTTTGACTTTATTAAGGGGGTTGAGGATTAATTTTAATATACAGATTTTTATTTTTAATAACTTGTGTTTTTGAACTTTTCCATTATTGGTAAACTTTGTAATTTTCATTTCTTCTTCTTCTTCTTCTTCTTCTTCTTCTTCTTCTTCTTCTTCTTCTTCTTCTTCTTCTTCTTCTTCTTTTGTTTTTTCGAGATAGGGTTTCTCTGTGGCTTTAGAGACTGTCCGGGAACTAGCTCTTGTAGACCAGGCTGGTCTCGAACTCACAGAGATCCACCTGCCTCTGCCTCCCCAGTGCTGGGATTAAAGGCGTGTGCCACCACCGCCCGGCCCTGTAATGTTCATTTCTAAATGTGTTATTTTCTAGCCTCGTCCTCCTTCTTCTACCCTCTACAACATTCAGCCCCACGCCTCTTCCTTTTCCATTCGTTTATTTGACCTAGCTTCTCTATTTCTCCCTCTCCCTGTCTCCTTCCTTTGTCATTAATTTACTATTCCATTGCTACACTAAACGATTCTTCATTTCATAGGGCATCTTCCAGTAAGTTTTCTTTTCTCATTTTTTTTGGGTCACTGATGATGTATTATGATGTACTAGTGGGATATAGTGTGTGTTTTAAGTGTATTTCTGTATCCTGTATGGTATGATGTTTCTGCTACCAGAGTTTGCATTCTATTTACTGAGTGGTACGTACTGGGGATTACAACTTGAAGAGTAGGCTTCTCAATAAGAAGATAATCTCCACTCATCCTTAGAAATATGCAAACCAGATGCACAACTTGCCACACAGAATTGCAAGAAGCATGAGAAAGCAAAGCAACATGATTTCTCTAGTTTTCTCTTTGTTGAGTAGTTATTCTGTTCCTTTTTTTTTTTTCTGTGTTACAGCTCTGAAAGAAAAGATATCTCAGCAGCTGGAAACCAAGAAATACCTACAGCTCTGAAGGGAAATGTGTCCTAACAGAAGTGTTACAGCTCTGTTATGACAAGGGACTTTTCCTCAGCAAAGTTGTTACAGTCCTTGTTCCAGGAAACATTTCTTTAATGCAAGTGTAACGACTCTGCTCCAGCAGGAGAGGGTTTCCCCAGTGAGGATGCTGTAGCTCTTCTCCCAAGAAGTGTTTTACCTCTGCTCAGCTTCCCAGGAGTATAACAGCTCTGCTCCAGCAAGAGAAAGATTCTCCAGTCAAAGTGCTTCAGTTCTGCCCTATTCCAGCTCCCGTCTGCTCCTCTATGGAAAGAGGTGCTACAGCTCTGCTCTGCTCCTGAAGAAGTTATTACATCTCTGCTCTGCTATTACAACAAACCTCACTTAAGAGATTTAGTGGGAGGGAGGAATCCAGGACAGTGACATCTCTGCCAGAGTAGAAAAAGTCAGCCCCAAACTGAACAGGTACAGGGCTTATAAAGGGCCCCCACCAGGGGTGGAGCTTTCCAGTGTAGAGACTTTCAGGGTGGGATTGATAGGATCTCAAGTACTGAGCTTGGGAAAAACTCAGAAACTGTTTGGTATTTTGTGCTCAGGGATCGGTTGAATTTCAAGTCCTGAGTTGCTTAAGGACAGTGTGTGTGTTCTTGGCTCTGGTCTCAAGGTCAGGGTGTTCTTTCACTGGCCCTTTTTATCCTATGTTTCCTCTCTAGATTTTAGGAGAGTGTGGTGGCTGTGTTGACGGGTAGGAAATTTTCTGTGAAGCTGATAGGTGTGGTCACTGGGGGTTCCAGGTAAAATGTGCTTCTGGGTAATGGAAGCTGATACTTAGGAATGGAGATAGGCCAAGGGTCTGAAGGGGTTAATAGAACTGAGGGAAGCAGAATGTCCCATCAGAATCTGCTTATTTAGTTTCTTTGTAATAGGGGCAGAGAGTGAAGAGAGAGGTCATCCTAGAAGTTCTGCTACAGGGCTGGGGATGAGATGGGGACTG